ATAGGTATATCCATAATTAGAATTGCAAGAATATAATCGGTTGCTCAGGCATTGTAACGGAAATAAATTTGATAAAAATAAAATAGCTTCTTACTATCGATAGACTAATCTCGATTCTTTCATTTTTCATCTCGTATCATCATTATTCCTCCCTCCCTCCCTCCTTTCACATTGTTTTCAAACAATTTCATAAATTAGAGCACAGACTAATTTACAATCGATCGCTGAAGCTCATGAGCATTAACGAAAATTACGTCGGACAATGCGCAGTATGAGAATGATTTTCGTGGGATCGCGTGTAGCACGGTATAACGATAGTAATAATTCCCCTCGAGGAAAGTGATTACTTGCGAAGCAGAAGGGTGGAGTTGTACAAAAAACGAAAAATGTACGACGATGGCTATTAACAGTATTAACGTGATTCACACTCTCTCTCTCTCTCTCTCTCTCTCTCTCTCTCTCTCTCTCGGTTCTTGCTCATTTTTGCAAACAGTGAATATTTGCTTCGACATAAACAATTGCCTAAAATTGCAAGACAACATCTCAGACCGCACGCAATATTTAGAAAATATTTATTAATATTTATAAGATTTATTTTAAATGTTTTGTAAATATTTGTGTGGTCTTAAATTGTAATAAATCATAAACATTTATTATAAATATTATGAAATATTTATTATAAATATCACATAAATACTATGAAAATGTTTAATGAGACATTATACATAATCCAAGCAAAAAACTTAAAAGTTACAAATCACCTATTCATACGGTAAGAAAAATTAACTTATATCTTTAAAACTGTATCGAAATTGAATAATGCTGAATGAATGTCTCTTTATGTCTCAAATAATATAAAATAAAAATATTTTAAATAAGATGCATGTTTTAATTAAACAGAAAATCATGATTTTAATCATGAAACTTACGATGGTACGTACGATTATCACAGACACGTTGATTCCTATTGATCAATGTAGGATGTCCCGGGGTGTGTCACGTCGCGTGTGACCTCGAATTAACGAATTATCTGCAGACACGTGGATGAAAGGATTCAAGTCCTGTCGTGTCAAAAAGAAACCGAGACAACGAAAGAGAAGATGTAATCGCATAGAATCCATTTGAAATTAAAGTTCAGTAATATTTCAACAAATTTCCGCGCTTGCATAAAAAAAATCTTGACTCATATATAATCTGAATTGTATAAAATTCAGGATTTAAGAGAAGAGTCATATTTTCTTATCTTCATTATAAACAAAGGATTGTAAAAAATCAGATTGAATACATTTCGTTGAAAGCCATTTTTTTACTCGAGACTCATTTATTTAATCCTCCTATTTCTGTTATTTCGTAATTAATAAAGGAAGTTACCGAGTTTTCGTTCGCAGTGATTTTCGGAGTGATTTTTACGCGAATGAGTTTCAACGATCTTTCCGGGTCACTGAGCTTTTCATTCACTCGCGTGACTCAGGGAGATCTATGATCATTTTCAAAGACAGTAATTGGTATCTTTTGCTCGTTCGTAGGTGGGTCCGTCGTCATCCCCGTCGCAGTCGCAACCGTCGGTCAGTCGACAGTCGGTTACGTTTAGTATTGTTGAATGCCAGCAGAACGAGGATCTTGTTGAGGAAGATCAAAGATCTCAAAACGAACGTATGAACACGAGATTTCACAACGACATGCAGCGCATCTCTATCGCCGGTTAGTGAAGAAGATAATTTTCTCTTAACGAAGAAACGCCAAAGTTTCAATCAATAGCCTTTGAGTGATATGCGATTGAGGATGGAGAACTCTGTCAAATTTCTTTGAGTCTATTTCGCGTTTAACTTATGGCAATTTTCTATGATCGGAGAAGCGACATCAAAGAGAGCGAGTCCGAGCGGAACCTCACCGGCTCCAATGAAGAAGTCAATCGTGAACGGCAAGGAAAATGACAACGAGGATGACTACTCGGCGTCAGTTTGCGCGATTATGCAGCAGCGAAATTCGACACGACGACAAAGTCGGCGGAAACGACGTCCGTCATCGCCGTTCGGCGTCGACAACGTCGACGGCGTCGCGCGCCGTCGATCCTCGGTTTATACCACGAGCTCGGGAGAGTTAGTATTTGCGACTTTCATAAAGCTGGAGTAAACTCAAAGTCCATCATTGATGTCTTTACTTTATCGTAGAAATTTCGAGTTAGAATTAAATTAATTGTTCAATTAAAATAAAGCGGTATTTAGATCTCGCAGATTGTGTGAAATTTATATTCGCGGTCTAGTTTCTCATTTAAAAACTGATGAGCTTCTTCGCACTGCTAGCAAGAAAAACATCACTGTAGCAAGAAAAATGCGAGTAGCAATTCACACTGAATATTATATGTACGCAAAATTTTATAGGCCTTATTTATCATTATAATATTCTAAAATACCGAAGTTTCTTTATATAATTTTTGAAGTTTATCTATACATTTTACACTAAAAAGATAAATATAAAAAAGAAACCCTATAATACTAATTAATAACAAGAAATTACTCTTATCGAAAGTCGTATAAAAAGACATATTCCAAATAATGACGCATTAGAAGATTCATCTATTTTATGATTACTACTATTATAATATCTTTTTTTCATCAATCTCTTATTGGAATTCTATCTCGATCACCGAATCGCTACAATGACTAGCACAACGTTTAAGTTAGTCATTAATTGAAGTCTTGGATTATAATAACAGCACGGTAATTACGATGGAAGAAAGCAGTAATCAGGAGCAGATTTTTGAGAATGTCAGTGTGCACAAAGAAGTTCTAAGTGCTATAAAGCAACAACCTTGGCCTCTCCGACGAAAGATCAAGCTCATACGGCAAGCTAAAGCTTATATCAGACGACACGAAGGCGTTCTACAGGAAAGACTCGCTCAAAGTCGCAACACTAAAGACATCATAGCACGCGTATCGCTTTTCATGACTAAGGTAGCGTACTTACTTATGTTATCGTAAAAATTAATTAAATTTTAAGTAACGTATTATTTAAGTAGGATATTGATATAGCAGCAAGGAACGTAACTAATTTTTATCTATTTAGAAGTGGCAGTATTTCCGACGTGAGCTAATCAATCTGCAAACGTGGCTCATACCTTGGGAGGTCCGTATCATGGAAATAGAATCCCATTTCGGTTCCGCTGTTGCATCCTACTTCATTTTTCTCCGTTGGCTCTTCTGGATCAACCTCGTCATGGCAACAACTCTTACGGCGTTCGTTGCGATACCTGAAGTAAGATTATTTTAGTTAATAAAAATGACATTTCTGCTTCCAGGAGCACAGTACGTCACAGTAGCTGTATTGACAAGATACTTAACATTTTTTAATTCTTCGCCAGGTGTTGACCGCAAACGCGACTCTCGCCGGCGAGAGAAAGATTATGTTGCAGGAAGAGGCCGTGAAATCGAAGGATCTGTTAACTTTATGGGAATTCGAGGGTGTGCTAAAATATTCCCCATTTTTCTACGGATGGTACACCAATCAGGACTCGAACAGCAATTACAGATTACCACTGGCGTACTTCGTCACCAATCTGGTCGTGTACATATACAGCTTCGTCGCAATTCTGCGCAAGTACCGGCTATGCTCTCTTCGTGTTGTTTAATCTCATATCATGGTGTCTTTTACTTTTCATTGACAGTGGCATTTTTTTCAACATCTTTAGATAAAGCTAGTTAAAGTAAAAAAAATTCTAACTTTAAATAAAGTTAAAGGAATTGAGACACGTAGTGTCTAAGGAACATATTTTACATTATTTCTTGATGAAAGATGTGCTGCAAGCGTCCATTAAACAGAATTATATGTTGTAAAATTATCTCTCGTTATTTCTGGAATTATTCCCATGATATATTAAAAAAGAGACGAGGCAAGCACG